AATTGGATAACTCTTACTCGGTTTAGTCTGTGGTCAAAAAAGGGCCATTATTTTAACAGCATCTCCAAAACTCCATTTTCAAACTTTAAAAAATTTTGTTAAATGGATTATTAAAAATTAAAGTTTTTTATGCTGGATATTATAAGAGATATATATAAGAATTAAACACAGAAAGAATGAGCTTAATACCTCTCATAGTTTTACCGTACCTGCGATGTGAATTTGAAGGATTTCGGGAAAAAGGCAATTTTTGCCAATAATTAAGTAAAAATTATATTATTACCAATTGTTGCTTAATTTTGATCAAGTAAATTGCGATTATTATTTCCGAGTCCATGGAAAGTTAGTTCTAATCAAATTTTCGAAACTAAAAATCATTAACCCTCTAAACACCGGTGTCAAAATCAAATTTTTGAATTTTATGTTCTTGAAGAAATAAGAGCATGATGTTGTTAATTTGTTGATGGATATTGATGAAACTTCTTAGAAGTTATTTTTACTACATTCAAATTCAATCCATTAAATCTTTAAGAAAGTTAATTTTAGAAAATTCCTTTTTAAAAGTGTTTTTTGTAGTGTTTAAAAAATCGGTCTTGAATTGACCCCAAGTATGACAGAGGGTTAATTTTTGAAGAAGTTTGATTCCTAGATTTCTGGATATATTTTCGTGTAGTTTGTCAAAATCAATTCATAATTAAATACACAATATTTTGCTATTTATACTAAATATACAAAAACTTGATTTTGACCCCGGTTTATAGAGGGTTAATGATTTTTAATTTCGGAAATTTTATCAGAAATAATTTTTCATGGACTCGGAAATAATAATCGCAATTTAATTGATCAAAATTAAGCAACAATTGGTAATAATATAATTTTTACTTAATTATTGGCAAAAATTGCCTTTTTCCCGAAATCCTTCAAATTCACATCGCAGGTACGGTAAAACTATGAGAGGTATTAAGCTCATTCTTTCTGTGTTTAATTCTTATATATTCTTTATAATATCCAGCATAGAAAACGTCAATTTTTAATAATCCATTTAACAAATTTTTTTAAAGTTTGAAAATGGAGTTTTGGAGATGCTGTTAAAATAATGGCCCTTTTTTGACCACAGACTAAACCGAGTAAGTGTTATCCAATTTGAACAAAAATTCGTACTAGCACATTTATGAACCTTATGAAGATAATTTTTTGTAAAATTTTTCGAAACTAACAAAAATTTTCTTATATTTACTTTTATATGTCTTCAGAAACACAAAATTCTCGGGGGAAATTTTAATAACTCAAAATTTGTTTAACGAATTTTGAGTTTTTCCATCTTTTTGGAAAGACAATTTTGTAGACATTACGATTTTGCTATAAAATGGTGCAATAATTAATACTTAAAGCCTCATTTTGTGAAAAAACTCCAAAAAGTGCCATTTTTCCCATATAAACGCATTTACAAACTTTGGCGGCGATGCGCGGGTTCTTACCCTCAAAATAATTGAATAATATTTTACAGTCTTCCATTTGACGTTAAAATACAACGCAATTTCACTATTAGATGTTGATCCGAGCGAAAAGCCTATTTTCGACCCACCCTAATATACATACATACATACATACAATAACAAAATCTCACTAAAAAATCATCAAAATGCTTAAATTTAAATCAATTTTTATTTAAAGAAAATATCTAAATTTATAAGTATAGTAATTTATAATTTTATAAATTTTAAATTAATTAACAATTTCTGTTAGCAATAATTATCAATTACTTTATTTACTTTTGCCAACATTAAACACAAAAACATAAAATATACTAAAACAAATTGCATACAATAACAAAGTCTTACTGAACAAACAAACCATCAAGTTTTATTGTTCAGTCGGCTTGATTTGTACTAACCAGTCAAACTATCAGTTTTTTTTACGTCCCTTAGTAAGAAAACGAAACCAAGAACTACCCAGCGGTAAAAATATACATTATGTACTCGCTTATCTAAGTGATATTTCGTGGCAGTCAGTGGTGATGCTTTCACTTATTCTTCTAATTAGATTTAACATAAAAGTGTCCTAGGCTGCCACATCGATGTGCTCTCGCTTAGAATGTAAGCCACAATATCATTAGGACAAATTAAAATTTCACTTACATAATGTGTGGAGTTCTAAGCGAATAGTAATGTAATGTATGTAGATTACAATCCTATTTGCATTTGTCTTCCCTTTTTGTTATAGAAAAAATATATATTTTTTTATATTTATTTTAAAATTATGTAAGTTTATTTAAAAATGATTATCAAATAATAAACATGTATTATAGATAATTCAATAAAAATATAATTAAACAATTTTAACGAAGATAAATGAAATTAATCTTAATTTTCTTTTGAAACTTTCGGCCATCTTCCTTTACAGATCCTGTAAACAATCAGGAGGAAATTATCAGTATTAAAACTAGAATGTATGAAATAAATTTACACCAATTTTTAAATCCATTTCTGCCGTTTAGATCACCACAATTATTTTAAATTTTTACAATAAAATAACTTTTTTAACAAAACACAAATTCACTTACAAAAGATCAACTTTAAACTGATACAAAAAGATTCTTCTTTTCATGTAGTATACAAAAGAAAAATAAAACGGTACTTTAGGCTTTTTTTAAGAAATAAAAACAAAAAACAAAATGAAAAAGGCAGCTAACTCTCTGCTTAAATCGTAATCTATGTTATAATTAAAGTGCATGATATGTTGGATTACGCATACATTGCACTCTAAGTACTTAGATTGCTCGCTTAGAACGTCATACTGATGTCATCGAATATTATCTAAGTACTTTGTTTCATTTACCGCTGGGTAAGCAATATGTAAGCAGCACACGCAAATCTGTTTTTACTGTTCAGTCGTTGTGTTCAGTTCGGCTGAGTTGAAAAACTTAATATGGCCGCTGCTTGTGTGTTTGGCTGCTGAAGAAAAACAAAACCACTTGCAAGTTATTGCAGCAGTGCGTTGACACAGTTGACTGACTTCAGTTAGCTTGTGAGGGAAAAATAAATACTTGAACTTTCTTCAGTTCGGTCGACATTTAAAAAAATAAAACTAAAAACTAAATATTAAACCCTGGTTGTTCTCCATATGAACTGCTGCAATCCTTTACATATTCTAAATGAGAATCTGCAATTCTTCTGATGATTATTGACTTTGCCTTCTTATCGTTCTTCCTTAGCTCTTCCACCTTGGTAGCATTGGCTTATTGAGCTACAAGTTCTTTAATATCTTGTAGAGCTAGATTCAGCAATCCATGCTCATCCAAAACTGTTTCCAATCTAAATCTCCAATTATCAAAATTCCGACCCTCAAAAAAATTTACAGAAAACATTCAGCCATGTCTGGGCCCATAACTAGATAAATATTCAAATTTGTTAGGGTAAAATACGGAGATTAAGAATTATAGTTTTATTTTATAATACGATTTTAATACAATTGAGAAAAACGAATAACAAAATTCATCTTTTAGAAAAATATAAATTTCAATGACAACTAAAATAATATAATAATTTGTGAAGTTACATATTTTAACTGAATGAAATTAATAAAATTATATATATTAATATAAATAAGCTCTAACAAATAGATGCCAAAATTCTGAAACGTGTAAATATTTTATCCATGAGTCTATATTTTGGTTTACATGGTTATAAACAATATTTACAAAGCATATTACTCTCCACACTACAGTAGTATAGGCTATAAATGCTTTAAGTGAATATATCTCGAAGAAGATATATACTTTGTTTCAAAATTGACAGAATCGACATTTTATAAATAAAGTTGTCTTGGCGTTGTTATAACGACTCAATGGCATTTTTTGAAATTTCAGGACACGATATCTCAAGTCCCAGATGTTATGGAGAAAATGTGAGGTAAGATTTATGTCAGGTTTTCGACTTTTTTCCAATTTTGTCGGCCTGTATAATTAATTATTTATTAAAAATAATTAATAATTAAAATTCTTGGCGAAATTTTTTGGAAATATTTAATTTAGCCTTCATTTGCTAATTTCACCAAGTTCCCTTCACCACCGTCTTTTGCAACCACCCATGGCAAAATTAGACAGGTGACAAGTTGCATCACTACAACAATACAAAAACAACATGTATTTTATTTTTGTACTAGAATTAGCTTACTGTCGAAAAATGTCATATTAAATGTAAACAATTAACAGTCAAAACATGTACACAATAACAACTTTTGACAGAAAGCATACTTTACACACATATAAAAAATAATGAACTGGTTTATCGCTTATGTAATTTTTCAATTAGTGCATCAAATAACTGGCTAATTGCAGGAAGGGTACGGTGGGGTCACTGTCAACAATGTTAGAAGTTAAGTAAGTGTTAAATAAGAAAATGGGACCAAATTAAGAAAAACTGTGACAGACTGAATGAATTAAACTAAAATGAGCGGTAAGCACAAATATTCTTAAAATCAATGTTTTGCTTATATTCTCCTTATTATTCATAACATAAGTTTATTTGTTATTAATTTTTTTGTAGAGAATATTTCATTATCCAAATTCGTAGAACATACATACATACGTATAATATGCAAGATATTCGCATAAATGTATTTTTGTGACCTTTAACCTTTTCTCTAATATCTCGCTTAGCAAGATATTAATGGTTAATAATGTTAAGGAGAAGCTATGAATCAATTTTCATTTATTTAATTAATATTTATCATAATTGTTTTAGTATATTGTGTTTTTTAACTGCACTAAATGCAAATAACAAGGTCATTTTGTATGCAGTGTTTATAGTATAAAACTTTATACACATTGTGTGTGTAAATATTAGGGTGTATAAAAAATATTTTCCACAAATAAACTTCTTAAAAGTCCCAGGCCAAAAATAAATAAATTTTAAATTGCAAAACTTTGTAAACATCAAACCCCATTGAACTTAAGTTTTTGTATCAATATAAGATTTTGTTTAAAACTTTGGGCATACCTTTATCATTCTGGTCGTCGGAATATCCTTGAATTTGCAAACGTTTTACAACAGACATGTAATTATCACCGGAACTGCTGCCTGCTGAACATTTGACGTGATTTATATTAAACGATACAATATTTTTAACACTAAACAGTTTCCGAAGGTTTTCCAAATTTTCTTCATATTCATTTTCACATGCCATTGTTTCGATTCAATAGTATTTTCTTGGTAATTTTGAATAAATCAGCATAACTAAATAATTTGAATTTATCGTTATAATCTAAGCACTTGTTGTTGTGCTGTTCTATGTTCACAGAAATTCAGATATGTTTCATGTTTTTGTATTTTAAAAAACTGCAATAATCGTTACATTTGTTTGTTTAATATAATGTGTGTTTTTACAATATAAATAAGTGAATTTTTAATATTCCGGTTGGAATTACACTGACTTTTGTAATTCAGAACTGAACGAAATTTTCATGACTGTTTAATTTTTCTTCATATAAAATATTTTCCATTTGACCAACTGCCACACATATTTTCATATTATACTATATGTAGTATATTTAAGCATAACAAAATTTGCATTCACATGTATAAATTTGTTATTTGCTTAAGTGTTATGAACAGTAACAATCGATATCGATTATACTATTACAGGTTTAGTTATTTGAATATTTTTTTTTTAATTGAACTTAATCTAAATCAACTAAAACTTGTATAAAATTATATATGAATTTTACATATATTTCTAATTTGTATATATTTATGTTGGATAATTGTTTATGTATTTTAACTAAAATCTCTGAACACATTTGGCTTTTTGAAAAGCCAATAGACAACTAAATGCCGACAATTGCAACGGCATGCAACTACATTACACACATACATACATTCACATCCAAAGAAAACATTTGAAAACGAAACTAAACTAAAACTATTACACAATTCATATCAAGTTAATTCTAGTTGACTCAAATGTTTGCTAAAAGTGTTTAATTCATTCAACAGAATATTTGAAATATGTAAGTACCAGGAAAAACTTACATTGAAGTGTTATGAGTTGAAATAATAATAAAACCTCTTGTCACTAGGTACTTCTTCATTAGCATTTTAACTCATTATTTTAACACAGTGATGACATTTAAGGAGAATAAGTATTTGCAATTTCGCTTACAAATAAGTTGTTGAGTAAGTTGTTTTGTTTTTTAATAATAAAAAGAGCCAACGAGAATAAGAACCTGGGACTTCGGTTTGTTATGTCAAATATTACTAAATTTTATAAAACATGGCCAACATTTGTATAAACATTTACGAGAACCAAAATGGTTTTCATATTAAGCTCAATGATCGAGCTCTGGTCTCTATAAAGAATTTTGATCTACATACTTATACATACATAATTCCAGGTTAGATTTTTTAAATCTTATACTAGTGAATGTTAATGAGAGGGTAATATAAGAGTCGGTTCAGCTGATTTAAATCGCATGCCAAGTACTTGTATGTAATAGTACAATACCAACTTAAAATTACATAAGTGTGTAAATATTTGAGTGTATGTGGAAGAACTTTTGCATTTAACAGAGTGACTTTGATTCTGTATATACGTCAACATTGTTGCACTTGAAATTTTGAACTTATCCTTGAAAGTAAACAGTCATAGTTGCACAAATATACATATATATGTATATGCACTACTATATAGAAATATTGCAAAAAAAACACACACATTTTTTTGCAATAAAAAATAAAAACAAAAATTAAAAAACACAGACATTGCTGCACTTGGCTTACTTTAAAATTCGTATAAAAACATATTTAAACGTATTTCAAATGCGTACGATCAATAAATACACAGACATGATGTTTGCATGTCTAATAAAGTGTTTGAATTCGTAAGGGGGAAACAAAATGCGGGGGAAAATAAAGATAAAATGTGAATGTGTTTCTAAATAACGGCAAATGCAGTTGCGAAATAAATTTGAATTAAATGCAAATGAACCCCAAGTAACCGTTAGAAATTTGTATAAAATTATCACCTTTTTTTAATGTTGAAGTTGAATGTATACTTTTTTTATAATTTGCACCAATGACATTAATATGTTTATTTAAACAACTATACATATCAACATGGATACTGAGATTTTAATTAAATAATTTTAAAGTGTATGACAATGAATGTGTTTACTTGTTTTTTTTTTTTTTTTTTTTTTTTTTTTGCTAAAGATAAAAATCTTTTTATAAATATCATTCACGTTTATGTAGTCAGTTTATAACATATTTTGTTTATGCGTTTATTTTTACAACTGCACGCGAACTGTCAAATAGAGTCGAAGAGACTTCGTTTTGACCGGACCACTCCACTCGTCAGATGTAGTATTTTTAGTATTAGATCCACCCTGTAGCCGTGAGAAATCTGAGGATATCATTAAGCTTAGACCCAGATATCTCACCAAGGTTAGATATGAAGTAACCGCCAAGGAAGCGGCTTCTCTTTACGGCAAGAGCATGGCATTCACAGAGAAGATGAAAGACCGTTTCTTCTTTTTCCCTGTCTTTTCAACTGCGACAGTGATCGTTGAAGGGGAGCATAAGCCGACTTGCATATCTGCCTTTCACCCAGTGTCCTGTTATTACTGCTATTAGCCTCGATATGTCCCGCCTACTTCGGTTTAAAGGGCTTCTTGTGCGTTTCTCATTGAAGGAGGGCCACAATAACTTGGTCCCTTTACATGTGTCTAGGTTATTCCTCCTATTTTCAGCCTTTTGAAGAAATAATCTGAGGATACTGCTCTTGATAAAACGGCGTTGGAAATATCAAGAGCAGATCCCGCTCTGGCTAGCTAATCGGCCAGCAGACAGATCCTTCTTGCATTGTTTAACTAATAGGGAAGTGGTAGTATAAGAGTTTAGTGAGAGAAGTGCAGCTTGACTATCCACAAAGACTCCCATGTTACCGCGAATATTGAGGTCATGTAGTACCCTACAGGCTGACATTATCGCAAGTATTTTAGCCTGAAAGATACTACAGAACCTTCTGTGAAGATTCTGGTGGTATATTCGCTCGGTAGGTTACCTCTACATCACTCGCTCCTGGAAGAAACTCTGACTTTGAAAACTCTATCAAAGTCCGTGTGTGGGGTAATATAGTCGGATGGTTTGTTCAAGATTGTAGGTAATAGGCTTAAAATCTTAGCGTGTCCATATGTTCTTGATCGCCACCTTCCGGATGAGTTAAGCCCCGCTGAGCTGCAAGCAGATATGGCCATTATATGCAGATCTATAGGTATAATGTGCAATATAGTGTTCAAAGCTTCTGAAGTACTAGTTCTTAGAGCACCCATTGCATGCTGATTTCTGAACCTTGTACAGCAGATCTAACGATATTCGTAAAATTTGGAAGAAAGTTTTCGGTTCCTAAAACACATATTTGTGCCGAATTTCATCGCTATACTCGTATTTTTGAATGAGGAATACTTTTAAATATGTAAGTAAAAATAAATAAGAAAACGTGGGCCGATATTGCCCATTATAATAAACAAACCATGTGATGATATCATTACATATTGCGTTTAAACGATCCCATCCATTCTCTTCTACACAAAATTTTGACAGATCATATTACTTGTGTGCTTATGTGAAGGGGGCTTAATTGTGCGTAAATATTTGATTTTAAAGCCCCTTCGAAAGACCTTTCATATGACATCAAATATTTTCATTGTAAAATGTATGGAAAATATCATAAAAATCTGAAACTATTATCCTTTGATTCACCTCACAAAATATTGACATCAGGACAAATACTTTGAAGAAGGCATCGTATAATAAACTACATTTTCATTTTCGGTGGGAAAATCTTTTCTGGGCCACCCTAATGTACAAACATTTTAAAAAACGAATAAATTAAATATTGTATTTATTTACAGTTTCCGTTTTTTCCATGTTGTATACCCATAGTAAACACATATCGCTCATTTATTAAAGAATGTTATATATATATCAAAAACAACAAAAAATATTTTTTTTTGGTAGATATCCCACTGGCATCACATTATGGGACTGTAAAGTCCTCAAAGAAGGAAATTGTTTAAGCTTTCTTTTGAGCGAAAAAAGGTGTTTTTTGAAAAAAAAAAAAAATAAAAAAATATCATTTAAAAAAATTTTAATTTTTTTTTTGGAAAGAATGAAGTAATAGCTCACTGAACACCTTTGGACAATTGGCAGTTCTTGCCCGATGGAGATGAAAATTTGTGTCTGGCCTACTATCCAATAGCACTAACTTTGGTGCAAATTTCGTCAAAATCGATTTTTTGAGTTGGGTCGCTTAATATGAAATTGCCCACATATATAAAATTCTAACGTTACTGACTGACTGATATATCATCACACAGTCTAAACGGTTGAAGCTAAAGAGCTGAAATTCGGACAGGAGATTGGTCTCCCACCACTAAGACGGAATTTTTAGAAATTCGAATGTTCAGGGTGTAAAAAAGTGTAAATTCGGTATCCTCATATCTCCTAAACTAGAAACAACAAAGATACAAAAACTGCTTAAAGCTTATCGTCGTTCATTTAAAAAATAAGCGGACAGGTGTCTTTAGGGAATAAATGGGTAAAAAATTTTAATTTTTTGCACCCCATGTATATTTTTAACCAGTGAACATTCAACAAATATTTTTGACTCCATCATAACCTAACGAAAAAATTAAAATATGAATTTAGCACTTTTTGGATATTCAGACCTTAAAGGAGTGAAAATTGTACCTATTTTTGGTACTTTTTTCATAAAACATTGTTTTTGATTTATTATGTGAGAACCTTTAAAAGGAAACTTTGTGGTACTTTTTCGTTCTTCAAAAGGTACTTTTGAATTCAACTTAAAAACGTGAAATTAAGCATATAGAGTCCGTATTAAGTGAGAACCTATAAAATGGGACTTTTTTGTAGTTTGTGAAAAGTGAAAACCTATAAAAGGGGATTTTTTGGTACTTTTTAGTTCTTCAAAAGGTATTTTTTGAATTCTATAATATTTAACCTAGAATTATGAAATTAAGCATGTAGAGCCCGGATTAAGTGAGAACCTATAAAAGGGAGCTTTTTAGTACTTTTTTCATTCTTTAAAAGGTACTTTTTTAATTTTTGTATAATATTGAACCTAGAAACGTGAAATTAAGCATATAGATCCCGGATTGAGTGAGGACCTCAACTCGTTCTTCAAAACGTACTTTTTGTGTTTTTTATAATATTGATCCTAGAAACAGGAAATTAAGCATATGGAGATCGGGGTTTATGAGAATCTATAAATCAACTGGTACTTTTTGAGTTTTCAATTATAAAGTACCTAGAAACATAAAACTATGCAAACAGGGACTTAAGTGAATTGAAATTTAAATTAGAGTATGGGTAGGAGGAACCGTGCTGCAGATAATTTAGGTGCTTTCTTTGAAAATAAATGTTGTACGAATCCACCATAAGATTTTGCCTTTCCGAATCAATTTATTCAAAGTAATCTATGACTTTCGAGTTGTAACATTTTTAAAGTTAATAGTAAATTATATTGTAATGTAATGGAAGTGTAATATATTTATTATTTATTTTAACCTACAACGCATTTAAATCTGATGATAATCTTAAAAAATGTTTATTAAAAATATAAAAACATACATAAATCTGTTTGTAGGGGTCATTCCACTTTAATTACTTGAATATGTTTATTGTGCGTTAAAACTTCAAGGTATTGCCGGCACCCAGTTTCAAGTTTATGAATTTAAACACGGATTTAAAATGAAAAAACAAACATTAGAGAAGTAATAAAGTTACTTTCAGTTTCTAATTAATTCTTAT